AGAGGCCTGGGGAGTAGTTAACACTGCGCCAGGCACCTCAGCTCCGGACCAACCCCTATCTGACCTGATCCAGTCCCCTAGAACTCCACGAGATGGGCATCATCACACCCACATGACAGATGACCACAACGGACCAAACTCACTGCCACAGAGTCAATTCGGACTCACAGCAACCCTAGATAGGACAGAGCAGAACTGCTTCTTAGGGATTCTGAAACTGTAAATGTTTATGGGAGCAGACAGCATCACTTCTGCTGAGGAGTGGCTGGTAGGTTTGAACCACCGACCTTACGGTTAGCAGCCCAGTGCTCGCGGTGCAAATAGGGCTCCTGAGCACAGCAGAGTCAGAATAAAACAGATGGGAGGAACAGCGGGTGGAATCACCAAGACTCCAGCACAAAAGAGAGCTCACCCTAGGGGCAGCTCTAGGCTAAGGGGTCCTAGGAGGAAGGAGCTTCATTGGGTAGAAGTGGGCAGGGAGGTTCTTTGCACAAGGTCCACGGCCAGGGCCTCAGGCAGAAGCAGGACAGGCAAGGAGTGGAATACATGGACAGGGGAGCAAGGTGCAGATGGAGACAGGGAGCGGCTAGAGCAAATGCTGCTTTAACACGGAGTCCCTGGTGCCCAAAGGAGAGAGGGCAGGGAGCAGTGAGCCAAGCGCCAGGGGGAGGCGCTGTACACTGTGGACAGTGAGCATCAGGGTGGGGTCCCAAGGCTGGATCTGGGGAAGAACCAGCAGGTCTACCCAGGTGAATAACCAAGACCCTGGGGAAGGAAAGGAAGCGCGTGGGGGAAGGAAGAAGGAGTTGAAATGAGGCCACCTGCTGAGTCTGCAGTATCCCTGGGCTTGGAGGGGGCAGGAGGACTGGGGCTGCTGTTAGGGCTCCCCCAGGCCAGGGCCCTGTATCTGACAAGGTCCTCAGATGATGGGTGAGGGACCAAGGGCAACTCTTGGAGGCTGTGAGGACAGAACTGGCTCTTAGGACAGAGCTGGGGTCTGCAGGGGCTCCCATGAGCTTCTGGACAATCTGAGGAAGAAGACAAGGAGTCAGAGTGTCTGGTTCAGGTTCAAAGTGGAAAATCAATGTACCTGGTTGCATTATAGAATAAACACTGGACTGCTAACCACAAGGTTGGAGGTTCAAGCCCACCAAGGGCTCTGAGAAAAATGAAGCTGTCTGCGCTGGTAAAGATTCAGAAACCCTACATAGGGTCACTGTGAGTCAGAATGGCTCAAAAGCACTGGGCTTGGTGTGGGGTTTTGTGGTTAGACTACCTCACCAGACCCCCACCTGCCACATGGAGGTCGTGTGGGGTTCCTGTGTGCTCACCTGAGAGCAGGGGTTGGGAGGCTCTGAAGGTGGTGTCAGTATGCCCAGGGTCAGCAGCAGACAGGGACAGCAGGCATCCTGACTCCCATAGGCCAGCGCAGCATCAGGCACCAGCCCAGAACTTTGGGGAAAGGACTTATGGGTGCCACTGGGAGCATTTTCATGTGCCACACGTCTCAGCTCAGTGTGCACACCCAGGGACGGGCACCCCACACCCAACTGGAGACTAGCCGCAGCTTGACCTCCCCTTTGCATCATGGGCAGGGGGTGCTGGCCGAATACAGTGACTCCCCTACAGCACCCTCACAGTGCTTGAGGCCATGGGGACCAGGGGGTGGGCTGAGAGGAGAGACACATTTCTCAGTTGCCGGGGAGCTACCCACTCTGAAAACTCCACATGGGCTCTGTCTGTACAGGCCTCTGGGGTCAGCCTCAGTTAGGGCACCAAGTGGCACAAGTCAATTGTGTCCCAAGGTAACACCATTAACAGGCAAAGCAAATGCAAGTGTGAAACCATTCTGTGAGTAAACCATAAATACCTAAGGGAGAGGTGGTTCTGGGGGTCCCCATGGTGGTAGCCCTGTCATACCTGTGAATAAACCATAATATATGGGATAAACATGGCTCTGGGGTTTCCTGCAGTGGTGGCCCTTCTGTACCTGGGAGTAAACTATAAATACCTGGGGGAGACATGGTTCTGGGG